AATCACTTGATCTCTGTCTGCCTCAGTTTCTTCAACTATAAAATGGGGCTAATAATAGCATCTACCTCCCAGGGTTCATACTTGTAAATGGAATCATACTTGCAAAATGCTTAACGCAGTAAGTAGCACACAGTAGGCATTACATAAATGCTTATGGTTATCATTAGGATTATAAAAAAAAGACCCAATTATTCTGAAATAAGGGTCCCCAGGTTGATAACTCTTGATTTAGACTAGAAAATCTCAGAGAGTAGGAACCAGGGAACATCTGGTGGAGGCCTGATTACTTTCACTGTCCCCTAGCTTCTAGCTCTTAAACTTTATTATTTAAATGTGGTCAAGGTCTGGGTCCATCCCAGAGCCAACTGTCCTTGAGAGGGGAGTTGAGAGGCAGTATTTGCGTGCTGGACAAGACCTCAGAAGCTTTTTCTTTGGTCTGTGCTGGTCCTCACGCCTGCTTCCTGACTGCAACTCTTGTAAATCAAATATCTGGCTGTTTATCCTAAGCAGAAGTGAGGGGAGCTCAGCCCTGGCTCTGGGTGCTTCTGAAGCAGGCTGAAGGAGGGGGACACAGGCAGGCCAACAACGGAGAAAAGCTGTCAGACTCTGGTGCCATCCTGGGTTCAAATGCTAACCCCTGCTCTGGATCAGAAGGACATCTAGTCTCCTTTTGCAGAGGAAGAAACTGAGGCATAGAAATGTTAACTGACTTGCCTCAAGATCACAGGTAGTAAGTAGAAGAACGATTTGAACCCAGGTCTTCTGACTTCATCCCCTGAGATTTAAATCCCTCCACAACTTGGCCTGGCCTTAGCACCTTCCCTCTTTCTCCTGCTTTGAACTGCAGCCAGGCCAGCTTCCTCTTGCCTTAAACCCACCAAGTTCTTTCCCACCTCTGCACTCTTGTTCATGCAGGGCCTCTCACCTGAAACGCTGTCCACTCTGCGAAGTCAAGTCCTCCCCACCTTTCACCATCCAGCTCAATTCCCAACTCCTCTGGTATATGCCAGCCCAGGGTGACCTCTCTCTCCTCGGAGCTCATTCCCACAGTATTCACTGTCTAGTCTTCATGTCTGAATCTATGCTGTCTTATATTGCTGCCTAATTGGTGCCTAATTGGGTCTGGAGTCAGGAAGGCCTGAGTTCATATCTGGCCTCAGACGCTTCCTAACTGTGTCCAGTCACTCTCACTCTCAGAGCCTCAGTTTCCTCATCTGTAGAATGAGGGGTTTGGATGAGATTCCCCTGAAAGGCCCCTTCTGGCTCTCCATCTACAGTCGCTGGGGAAGTCCATTCCTTTCTGTTGACCTAATGTTTCTTCTGTAAAATAAGATAGTCGAATGAGATCTGTTGGATCACTTTCATCTTTGAGTGCAATCATAGGTTTAATCGAGACCAAGCTAAGCCAGGTCCTGAATTCCCCCAGCTCCTCACAGCATGGGCTCACTGACTCTCAGTCCCTGCTCACTGGCCTGCAGCCCCTGCTGGGATTCCTCACCGATGATATTCTGTCCCAGCTGAGTCCAAGGTCAATTTGCAGGCTCCCAGCCCTCCACCCTAGAACCCAGCTCCCAGATGGGCCCCAGAGAAGAAACCAGAGGGGAAGGAATGAGCTGGGAATAGCTAGGATGGTCCCTTTTATCTGACCCTAAACCACACAGGGGGAGACCACGAGGCAGGTTAGTGGCCAGACGGCTGGGAGGCAGCCGTTCTCCAGCCCTTTGAAGTATATGTGTGCTGAAGGTTGGGAGGGAAGTCCGGCTCTGCTCCCCACCCCCAACCATCCTCTGTATTTCCACAAGCTCTTGCTTACACCCAGGTCATAAAAAGAGCAGATTTATCTTGATCAAGAATCCCAGCCACATGGAGCCTTGTGTCCACTTGGGAAGAGCTTCTGGCACAGCCCAGGCTGGGGTGGGAGGGTGAGGCCAGACAGCTGGAAACATCTGGTTCGAATTGTCCATGGCAACCATCAGCCAAGGAATCCCAATGGCTGATCTTAAGCTGAGAAAGAGGTGGCTCAGCCTGGCTTAGCCGGGTTCCCCACACTCTGGGCCAGGGCTGGGCAGGACCAGGCTAGGGCCCAAGGAGGCTCCCACACATGGCCATAGTGCCCACACGTGGATGAGAAACCTTTCCTTCCTTTTGGCACCAAAGCAATGAGTCCACTAAGGTTTGTACTAGCCAAGAGGGAGCCCAAAAGACCAGTAATTAGGACCCTGGGAGACATCAGGATTTAGACATTCAGAGATAGCCACACCATCCACTCAGTAGAAATTAAAAGGAATTTTCTAACTTCTTGGTCTGGGACTAAGGACCTTGAGCTGGCACCAGAGGAAAGGCAATCAAAAGAACATGTGGTCATAGGTTGGGAGTTGTTAGCTTTTGCTGCGTGCCTGGCTGACTAATGACTCATAGCAGGGATGTGGTAGTGAATGTTTAACAACTGGTTTGCTCTCTCTCCCCCCTCCCCCAAAAAAGGCATCCTTTCAAGCTTAATCTTGGTCTTAATCATTTCCTCCATCACTTTCTTATGTCTAGAATCACAATCAACAGAACAATAAGTCAAGCCCTGATTTGTAGCTTCGTCCAATCGTTTACCAATCAACTCCTAGCACAGCTCAGCCATAGCCTTTGTCTACGCCCCAAAAGAGCATCAGTTGGCGCTTGTCAGAGAGAGCCTTACTAATCCTTGCACCCCAAGATATGGTAGCAGAGAGGGGAGTAGACTACCCTGAAAATACGAAACAACTGAAGAGATGGTCGTAGAAAGAAGCCTGTCAACCCCAGAACCAGCAGAGATAATAAGGCAGTGAGGAGATTGTATTCCAAGCTATGCCATATTGCTTACAACATGGGCATAAGCATTGGTTCTATGGAACTATTCTATAGAATGTTGTTTTACCTAATGTTGCATTTTTGTAGAGCCAATTAATGATGCCTAACCAACCCAATAAACCTTTACTAAGCATCTATTATGTTCCAGGCACTGTACTAAGCACTGGGGATTACAATTAATAAAAGTCCCTGCCCTCAAGGAGCTTACAATCTAAAGGGGGACATAACTCACAAAAGGAGGGAAGTCAGAAAGATAGGCCAGCAGGTGATATTCGGCATCAGGGAGTATCTTGCTCCATGGAATTGAAACCAAGCAGAGCAGAAAATGCAAAACAGAATGAGCTAAAAGTCCAGTTTCTACCCTCTATGAAGGAAGGCATTGGGAAGGGTTTTTGGACCTACACCCTCCAAGCCCTCCAATCAAAGGAGAGAAGAGGCCGAGGGAGGTGGTGTCAATCAAGGGTTGAGTTAGCAGCATGGTGGTGAGTTTAGAAATGATGAGATTATCCTGGGAGGGACATTTTGTTCCATGGTGTTGAAACCAGGCAGGGGAGCAGATACAAAGTGGATCAGATTGAGAACAGCCTTAAATTCTAGACTTGGGAGTTTGGGCTTGTAGGTACTAGGGAACCACTGAAAGTCCAAGAGGAATGACATGGTCAGAAATCATCAAGTCATAGATTACTCTTTTATTTACTTCTGATGTGTAAGCCATATCAGAATTAATCATGCGTGCAGCCAGATCAGTATCAGTATCAGCTAGAAGAAAGAATAAAGACATAATTGTAGCAGCTTCACCCTGACCTATTAAAAATAGCTTTTGATGTCCCCAAAACAGGAAATGGAAAAAGAAAAAACATTGACCTTGATTATCACTAGGTCTCTTGTAATACCTTCAGAGATATCAAATAATCGCTACAAGTAGGCTATAAACAGCCCAGAAACCACCTGAGTCAGTAAACACTTCATCTCCTTGTCAAGCAGAAAGAAATGGTAGCTGAGGACAAAGTCAGTTTAGAATGCACACTCATTTGTTAAACACTATGAAGGAGTGAAAGCAAAAACAAGTCTAAATAAAAGACTTGGCATGAGACCCAGCTGGACACATCATCTCAAAGGCATTCATAGATGGAACTGGCTGGCAGACTATGAATAGGCAGAAAATAGAGCAAATTCATTGGCATTTCCATTACAATCTATTTTCATCGTCGATGATAATGGCACTACTCCCTGGGACCATTAACACCTCAGTCACTCTGGGCCATATGAGTAAGCAGAAAAGGTACTTCAGATGAAGTTGGAGTAAAGTGCTGGAAAGTAGATGCCCATCATTTGGGGAATGGCTAAACCACTTCTGGTATATGAATGGGATGGAATGTTACTATGCTATAAGAAATAACAAAGAGGATGAATACAGAGAAGCCTGGAGAGACTTACGTGAACTGATGCAAAGTAAAGTAAGCAGAACCAGGAAAACAATATACAAAAAACAATGTAAATGGAAAAAATAACCATCGTGAAATAATTGAAAATAAATGTCGCAAAATTACAAAGAACAATGTGTCCCCCCAAAAAAGATAAAACACCTCCCCCCCCAACTCCTTTGGGGGAGGTGAGGGTCCATGGATGTGGAATATTGCAATGATGTCAGACTTTTCCCCATGTGTTGGTTGGTTTTGCTGATTTTTTCCTCCTTTTTTTAAAATAAAATTCTTTGTTATAAAGGATGACTCTAGTGGGAGGGGGGTATGGGGAAAATGAAAGCAATGTGAAAACAAAAGATGTCAATAAAAAAATCTATTTTTAAAAACACCACAGAGGAGGGTGGCCACATAAAATGGTGAAAAGCAGTAGAAACAAAAATAAATCTAAAAAAAAAAAAGTTTGGCATGAGATGGGACCCAGACAAACCATATCATCTCCTGAGCATTCATAGATGGAGCTGAATGGCAGTCTACAAATAGCCAGAAAATAGAACATATTTGTTGTCATTTCCACAATGATCTATTTTCATCATCAATGATAATGGAACCACCAGTCAACAAGATTGGTCAACAAGCATTTATTAAGTACCTACTATGTGCCAGGCACTGTGTTAAGTGTTGGGAATACAAAGAAAGGAAAAAGACACTCCTTGCTCTCAAGGAGCTTACAGTCTAATAAGGGAGATACATCATACACATACAAGATACAGACAGGATAAATTGGAGATAATCAACAGAGGGAAACTATCAGTGTGAAGGTTTTCAGTAGAAGGTGGCTGTTCTGTGGAGGTCCTATGGAAGAACAAAGACAAGAATCACTCAAGATAAAAAGGTGTGGAGAGGGTGCTACCAGCATCATTCAATACATTGGAGGTGGTGGCCACATACACAAGACCTTAGATCCATCAATGTCTTGAATCACATGCTCATTCTGGCATGAAAAATGAATTGAAGAGGGAGCTGGAAAGATACTTAAAGATCATTGAGTTCAATGTTGTCATATTACAGAGGAGGAAACTGAGGCTCAGAGGAGTTATAGGCTTATAAGATCATAAAGCAGAGTCAGGATTTTAACTCTAATATTTGGTATCTAAATCTGGGGCACTTTCTACTGTACCACACTGATCTCTAAGCTAGAGATTAGTTAAAAGGCTATTGCAAGGGTCCAAAAGAGCCTGAACTAGGGAAATGGCTATGTAAATGGAGAGAAGAGGATGGATTGTAGTACCCCTCAGGGCTTATTCTAGGAGTAACCCTGAAGGACTGAGGATTTCTAATATTATCATTCTTGAGCCCCCATTCAGGATGCTCCCCACAGTCAATCAGCCAGCAGAATTCTATTAGCTTTTAGAAAAGGGGTATAATGATAACGCATAGAAGTAACAATAGTTAGAAAACAATTCCCCCAAACTGGGGGGGCTGGGGTTTGCAGTACTCACCCTTTGCACATATAATGTGTCTGCAGAGACTGGACACAATTGCAAAGTACAAGATAGACAAGTATAAATGTAGAAAACTCATTGAACTAAGGAGCACCTCCTGCTTCCAAAAGTTCTTTTCTCTCTTTTGTGGAAGACTTCCCTTAGGTCAACTCAACAAACATTTATTAAGTGTTAATTGTGTTTTTGATGAAACAAATGTAGGTCTCTTCTGGACTCTGAGGACTGGTGCTTTTCTAGAGTTCATAGTCAGCATTTCTCTCCATAATAAGGATCACAATCCTGGAAGCTAATGCCATCCTCAGGGCATTAGAGATGCTTTTTGTCACTGACCACAGCCACTCTGATGGACTCTGCCACCGAATCCATTTGCCAGTGGAAGCTTTGATACATCTGATGGATCCACCAGTTGCCTAGGCAGCCTCCTCTCATAATATTCATTCACCTAAGAGCAGGAAAGAATAAATTTAAAAAAAAAAGAAACAGAGGCAACGTGTGCCTACAGACACTTGTTAGCCAGGTAGGAGATAAGACAATCACTCTTCCTTCCCTCTCCCTCCCCCCGTGGAAACTGACAACCACTCTGCCTCACTCACTCATTGCCAGGAAGGAAAAGAAGCCAAAAGGCTGATGGAGGGGAGAGGGTCACTTTTTCATATATACCCTCAGCAATGACTCAGCAACTCAGGAGTCATCAATCTTTCCTGTTCCTTGGCAAACCTAGAAGATTCTTCATCTCTTCATAGCCCTGGGTCTTCATATGCCAACGTCTAGAAGTAGGTTCATCAAGCCTTCACATGTTTAACTGGAACCAGGGCAAATCCAAATATACTGTAAAGATTGGACCAAAACTTAGATTTTAGATCCTAAAATTGTGGAGGAAAAAGCAACAGAACATGATAGTTTGACATGAAGGAGATGAGGGAGAGAGATCTTATCCCTACACTTAATGTCTCACCAAATCTTTTTATTCTTTCTACATGAGGGGCAGAATCAAGATGGTGGAGTGAGAGTCATCATTTTTGCCTAGCTCACCCGGCACAACTCATCCATAACAATCTAGAAAATGCATCAGACTGAATTTTTATCAGAAAAGTCAAGAAAAAGTCACCTTGAGTCATTTGTCCAGCCCAGAGAAGCTTAGGAAGACAGACAGAGAGGTCTGTTGGCACAAGGCAAGGAAATGGCCAATAATGCAGCAGAAGTAGCTGCAGCAGAGAAGCATTCTGGAAACTAAGGATGGTAAGAGGGCTCAGAGTCAAGAGCAGGGTAGAAAGCACTGGGGCAGAAGGAGATCCCAGGGGAGCCCAGGGAAGCCCAGATACCAGCTGGCAGTTCTGACCCTGTTTCCCAGTTCCTGGTCACAGTTCCAGGATAGAGAGAAGTAGTTGCAGGTGCAAGAGAGCAGGGCCCCAGGCTGTGTACAGAGCAAGGAACAAGTTCCAAGAAGTTAACTGTGTCTCTCTGAGCCCAAGAGCAGAGGGGAGACTCAGTTCCAACCTTTAGCCCCAAGCATAAGCCCAAGAATGTAAATTAGCTCATTTCACCCTTACAACAACCTTGCAATATAGTGCTCTTATTATCCCCATTTTACAATTAAGGAAACTGAGGCAAATAGAAGTTAAGTGACTTGTTCAGGGTCACATGGCTAGTAAATGTCTGAGGCTGGATTTGAACACAGATATTCCTGACTCCAGGCCCAGTTCTTCATCCACTGAGTTACCTATCTGACAATTAATTGGAAACTAAATAACCTAATCCTAAAGAATGGATGGGTCAAAAAATAAATCCTAGAAATAATAAATAATTTCATCAAAGAGAATGAAAACAATGAGGCATCTTGCAAAAACTTATAGGATGCAGCCAAGGCAGTACTTGGGGAGGGAGAGAGAGAGAGGGAGAGAGAGAGAGAGAGAGAGAGAGAAAAGAAGAAGAAGAAGAAGAAGAAGAAGAAGAAGTAGAAGAAGGAGGAGAAGAAAAAGAAGAAGGAGAAGGAGATGATGAAGATGAAGGAGGAGAAGGAGGAGGAGGAGGAGGAGAAGAAGAAGAAGAAGAAGAAGAAGAAGAAGAAGAAGAAGAAGAAGGAGGAGGAGGAGGAGGAGGAGGAGAAAAGAAAGAGAAAGGAAGGAAGAAAGGAAGGAAAGGAAAAAAGAAAGAGGAGAGAGAGAGAGAAGGAGAGAGACAGAGAGAAGGGGGAGAGAAAGAAAGAAGGAAAGAGAGAAAGAAAAAGAAGTAAAAAAAGAGGATTATTGAGACATTTTAATGCAGTTAAGAAAGCAGAAAGAATCCTAAAAGAGGAAATTGTGGGCCAGAGAAGGATGGTGCCAGGACCAGAACCCAGACCTTTCTGCTCTTCCTGCCATTCCAGACCATCTTTGGGCTCTGTTTCTTCTCCAGAGGGTGGCTGAACCGTGCAGAAGGGGTGTGCTCATGTGACGGACTCTTAGAATTTCACTGCCCTCTCAGCTGGCGGGGGTCTTCCTGAGGGCCCCAGAGTCTGTAAGGAAGCTGCTTCCCCAGCATTTGTCTGGACATCTCACCTCAGGGACTTGGCTCTGAAACTGGACGTTTCAGAAGAAACACCAGACTTTTGTGGAAGGGGAAGGCAGAGGCTCCTCTGAGGCTTATGCCTTCCAGGGGCAGAATGGCTTAGAGAGTCTGACTCAGGCCTTAAGCCGCAAGATCTGCCCTGGTTCTATCACAGCTCAGCTTCATGGCACCTGGTAAATCCCTTCCCTTCTTGGGGCTTCAGGCTTCTTCCTAATCTGTAAAATGGGTGAATTCAAGTCAATTCAATAAGCATTTATTTCTTGAGCACCTCTCCTTGCCAAGACTAGGGATACAAATGTGAAACAGTTCCCCCCCTCAAGAAGCCTCCATTCTAACATCTCAACAATCACGTATTAAATGCTATTTGCCAGACCTCGAGCCAGGAGCTGGGGGTACAAAGACACAAATGAATCCTTGCCCTTCCATGGGGTTGGGGGAGGGGGACACAATAAGCAAACAGATACAGAAATATAGAATATCCTCTGTTTTTAAACTGTCCCGTGGTTTCCTCTATTCCTCTAGCGAATTCCCTCTATGTTGCAGATGGAAATTCTATAACTAGGTCTTCGAGGGTTTCTTGGGGCACTTAACTCTCCCAGGGTCACACAGCCAGTATGAGGTAGAGCAGAACTTGAACCTAGGTCTTCCTGACTCCAAGGTTGGCTCCAATGTGTAATTCTCTGGGCCTCAGTTTTCCTATATGTAAAATGGATTACATGTCCTCTGAGGTCCCTTATAACTGTAATCATTTGGACCACAGGGTTTTTAAAACTGAAAGAGTCTTCAGAGCTCATCTAAGATCACCCTACTCATTTTTTATAGATGGGAAAAAGAAGTCCCAGAGAGGGGGATTCACTTGCTCGATAGAGAGTTGGTAGGTGACCCTTGGGAGGAGAATTCCCAGCTGAGTGGTCTTTCCACTACATAGGATCATAGACTCCTAGGTCTAAAGCTGTAGGGAAACTCAGAGGCCATGCTGTCCACCTCCCACTCAATTTACAGATGGGGAAACTGAGGCCCCAAAGAATCCATGAAGTGACTTGGTCACAAGGGACAAGGTTACAAGTGACAGACTCAGGATTTGAACCCAGATCTTCCAGATAAGCAGAGGTCAGGCTCCAACGCTGGAGGTACTAGTTGGCCCCAGATCATCAATGCAACAGAATTAGCTTCAGGTCTGGGGCCTCTTTCCATCACGTGAAATTGTCCTCTTAAGAAGGAGAGGAGAGATGGGGTAGGGGCCAAAAGCAGCAATCACTCTCTGGAAGAAGACGGATTTCCCACTAAAAGCTTGTCAGCAAAGGTCCACTCCCCTTCCATAAACATGTCCCTGTTATCTAAACAAAGCAGAGGGGATGGGGGAGAGGTTCTTAAGTGAGCTCCAGAGCTGGCTGGCTTTGGCATGGATCCCAGGCAGGCAGCTGGGGTTGAGAAGGGAGAGGGAGGAGAGAGTATGAAGGGGGTGAGGAAGAGGGGCAAGGGAGAAGGAGGGAGAGCCCGATCAGAGTTGACAAGGACCTGAGAGGGCATCTGATCAACCCCTCGCTTTTTTTTTTTTTTTTAGGCAATTGGGGTTAAGTGACTTGCTCAGGGTCACACAGCTAGTGTCAAGTGTTTGGTTTGAGGCCGCATTTGAACTCAGGTCCTCCTGACTTCAGGGCCGGTGCTCTATCCACTGCACCACCTAGCTGCCCCTCAACCCCTCACTTTTACAGAGGAAGAAACCGGGGCCTAGAGAGAAGTGATTTCCTCAAAGCTAAACGGGAGTGGAAAGCTAGGTCCTCTGATTTGAGAGGCTTTGATGTAACAAGGAAGAAACGTTTATTAAGTGCTTAAAATGTTTTTAATTGAATTGAATTAAGCACCTACTATGTGCCAGGCACTGTGCTAAGTGCTTGGCATACAAATAGAGGTAAAAGGAGCAGCTAGTTGGCACAGTGCATAGAGCCCTGGAATCAGGAGGACCTGAGCTCAAATCCGGCTTTAGACACTTGACACTTACTAGCTGTGTGACCTTGGGCAAGTCACTTAACCCCGATTGCCTTGCAATAAATGAATAAATAATATAAAATAAAATATATTTTATCAATAAAATTAAAAATAAAAAGAGGCAAAAGCCAGTTCCCACCATCAAGGAGCTTACAAGCTGATGGAGGAGACAACACGCAAACGAAGCAAGCCCTATACAGGAGAAATAGGAAATGATTAACAGAGGGAAGGCCCTGGAATTAAGGGAGCTTGGTCTTTCCATCGTCCCAAAGGCTGAGGCCGAAAAGGGTAATAATAATAGCGAGCATTTAGAGAACATTCTAAGATGTGCAAAGTGTTTTACAATTATTATTTTATTTCTTTATTCGCAACTACCCTGGGAGATAGGTGCTGTTATTTTCCCCATTTCCATATGAGGAAACTGAGGCAGAGAGAGATGAAATGACTTGCCAAGGATCAGACAGCTAGTAAGTGTCTAAGGCCGGATTTGAACTTGGGTCTTCCTGACCCCAAAGCCATTGTGCTACCTAGAAGAAAAGAAGGGAGGGCAAGAGAAGCGCGTGTCCTCAGTCACGGAGCCAAGGGGGCGCCTTGGGCGTCTCCTCTAGTTCCAGAGAACAGTGCTGAGGAGGAGGAACCAGGGAAAGATGCTGAAGGTGGTAGTCAGGCCCCTTTCTGGCCCAATACCCTCCGAGTGGAGTACTGAAGGGTGGCCAGGGTTCAGCGAAGCAGAATCATAGAAACCCAGACTCTGAGGGCCATCTAATCCACCCCATACCCAAACAAGAATTCCCTCCATAGCATTTTCTTCTCTTGATGGGACCAGGTAAATTTTACTTGCAGACATCTAATGAGGGGCAGCTCTTTATTTCCCAAGGCAGCCCATTCCACTTTGGGATAGCTCTTATGATTAAAAAGTTATCTTTTTAAGGCAGCTAGATGGGACAGTGGATAGAGCCACTGGTCCTGAAGTCAGGAGGACCTGAGTTCAAATCTAGCCTCAGACACTTTCTAGCTGTGTGATCCTGGTCAAGTCATTTGACTCCGATTACCTCCAAAAAAGAAATTTTCTTTTCATAGAGTTGAATTCTGTCTCTTAAAGTTCTACCTGCTGCTCCTAGCTGTGTCTTCAGAGGCCACTACCATTCAGATACCTGAAGACAGCTCCCCTGTTCCCCAGAGTCTCTGTTCTCCAGATCTGAACTAATTCTCTCATTGATCTTCAATAGTACGGGCCCAAGGCCCTTCCCCATCCTAGATGCCCTTCCCTGGACCATCTCCAGGCTGTCATTTTGTTGTTGTTGAATCATTTCAGTCGTGTCTGACTCTTCGTGACCCCATTTAGGGTTTTCTTGGCAAAGATACTGGAGTGGTTTGCTATTTCCTTGTCCAGCTCATTTTACAGGTAAGGCAAACAGAGTTAAGTGACTTGTCCAGGGTCACACAGCTGGTAAGCATCTGAGGTTAGATTTTAATTCATGAAGATGAGTCTTCCTGACTCTAGGCCCAGCATTCTATCCACTGCACCACCTATCCGCTATCATCACCCTTTGAAAAAGTGAACACAATACTTTAAATGTTGTAAAATCATCGTATCATAAATTTAGACCTGGAAAGAAACTTGGAGGCATGTGGGAACAAGGAGAGAGAAAGAAGAAAGGAAGAGAAAAAAGAGTAGAAAGAGGGGAGATCCAAAGGTAACTTTATTCCTCTTTCATTTTACAGATGAGGAAAGTGAGGCCAAGAATGGCTCAGGGACGAGCAGCTAGATGGCTCAGTGGATAGAGCACTGGCCCTGAGTTCAAATTCGACCTCAGACCCTGACTAGACGTGTGACCCTGGGCAAATCACTTAACCACGACTGCCTCCAAATAAAAGAAGGGGAGAGAGGAGAAAAAGAAAGGTGGGGGAGGTTTGGGGACTTGTCCAAAGTCACATAGTCAATAAGCAAGGATTCCAGGGGTTAACCCCACATACAGTGTGCATTCAATCCTTCCTCAAGGGTAGAAGAGAGGGCAGAGGGTGGTGAGGCCAGTTTGGCTAAGGGTAGAAGAAGAGAGAATGAAGGGTGAAGAGACAGGTTGGAGCTGGGGTGTAGAAGACTCTGAATACGAAGCTGAGGAGCTGGGAGGAGGGAGATGGCTGGGTCTCCTGGCAGCTCAGAGATTGAGCTGGGCTCAAAACCCGAGTGAAGAAAGATTCCTGAATCTCTCAACTCCAGATTCCTAAAAAGTCATTACAACCTCCAACCCCTTTTGGAGAAAACCCGGTTGGCATTTGCTGTCATGTCCCCCCAAGGGGACAGGAGAAGGACACACCTCACTGCCCCCTCCAGACACATTCATCCACATTTGGTGTTGATGGCAGGATCCAGGCAGGGGTGGGGGCAGGTGGGGGGAGGTGGGGAAGGGAACAACACAAAACCTAGCGTTCTACAGTATCTGGCTTCCCGGCCCCTTCCAGGATGAGGACTCCTCACACAAAAACATATACATAGAAACACCCACAGATGTTCCAGTCACTCCCATGTATTAGGACCTGAGAACAGAGAATGTCAGAGCTGGGAGGCCCGTAGTGATCTCTTGGCCTCCTTGACCAGTTGAGGAAACTGAAGCTTAGGGAAGAGACTTGGCAATGTCCCCCCTTGGGTCAGCGGCCAAGCTGGGGCCAAATGTGATGCCTGGTGGTTCCCAGGCCTCTCCCTAAGCAGCCCGGTTCCGTTGCCTTTACTCCCTTCATGGGCTGCACATGCAGGCAGCTGAGAAGATGAGGGCTGAGGTCCGACCTAGAAAGATATGAGGTTGCGGGAAGGCTTGCCGTAAATCTGAAGACCCCAGAAAGTGGGAGTGTGCGCCCTCTGGTGGTCTGCACAGATCAACACGCGATACATGCTCTCAGGGATAGCCAGCATTCAGTCCAAGCCACCGCTGACCAAGAATCCCCCCTGCAACATTCCGACGAGGGGCCACCCAGCCTCTGCTTGGGGACCTCCACTGAGAGGTCACTCTCAGCCTTCCAAGGCAGCCCATTCTGCTCTGGGCTAACTCTCATTAACAGGGAGTCTTTCCTAATATCCAGCCCAGATCCTCGTCTTCATTCACCCATTGCTCCTAGACTGGTTCAACAGAAAAAGGCTAATACTGTTCCCCTCTCCAACCCGATAACCCTTCAAACCCCCAAAGGCGACTCTCTTTTCCACTCTTCCCATGCCACCCCAGTTGTCTCTTCCTTCAGCAGATCCTCATAGGGTTCCATCCCAAGGTCCTGGTCACCCTCCTGGTAAGCTCATCAGCTCTTCAGTGTCCTTTCTGAATATGGTGCTTGAGCCAGGGTCTGACCAAGACACAGAACAGTGAGATGGTCCGTTCCCTGATCCTGGATCCCATGGCTATCTTCAACAGGCCCAGTTTGTTCAACCAATCTTCACAAGGCATGAAGTAGTATGGCATGAACCAGTCTTCATATGGCATAAACAATTTCATCTTGATGGCCCTCCAGACCTCTCCAGCTTATCAATGTTATTTCTAAACTAGGGCCCCCAGAATCGAATTCAATACTCCAGGTGGGGCATAACCAGGGCAGAGGATACAGTAACTATCACCTCCTTTTTTCCTAGAAATTATGTCTCTCTTAATGAGCCTAAGAACCCATGAATTTGGGGTGCCATATCATACTTCTGACTTCTATTGTCCTTGTAGTCGACTAAACTCTCTCCACTCCCCAGATCTTTCTCTGATGAGCAACTGCTGCCTGGTCATGCCTTTTCCATTACTTGTGAAAGTGATTTTATTGCACTGAAGCTTTAAAAATATGTATTTTCCCCTGAGTTTCAACTTACTTAATTTTGCCTTATGCTCTAGCTTGTCATGACTCTCATGGAATATGTCCTATCTATTCCTCTCTGCTTTGTGTCATCATTACGTGTTGTCTTCCCGATTAGATCATAAGCTTCTTGAGGACAGGGACGGGCTTTCTTTTTGTATTTGTTTCCCCAGAGCTTAGCACGGTGCCTGGCACAAAGCGGGCACTTACCAAATGTTTGTTGATTGACTGACTCATCGGCAAATTTAACAAGCAAACCACCTTTATGCAAGGCATTTATAAAAATGTTATACAGCACAAGACCAAGTCTACTGGAGACCTACTCCCGAGATGCCATTGAACCATTCAAGAATGGCTACTCTTTAGGTGTAGTCAGTCAAGAAGAATTTATTAAGCCTTTATGTGTGCCAGGTGAGACAATGCTGGGTGGCACTGCAGTGGATAGAGCACCATGCCTGGAGATGGGAAGACTCCTCTTCCTAAGTTCAAATCTGGCCTCAGACACTTACTACCTGTGTGACCGTAAAGCAATCATTTAACTCTGTTTGCCTCAGTTTCCTCATCTGTAAAATGAACCAGAGAAGGAAATGGCAAACCACTCCTGTATCTTTGCCAAGAAAACCCCAAATGGGGTCAAGAAGAGTTGACATGACTGAAATCGACTGAACAACAAATGCTCTTTCTAAGCTCATTGAGAGTGGCTACTCAGTCATATCTGCCAGGTTTCAGTATCCCAGCATACAGTTCATCTGTGCCTAGTGACTGGACCTCACTAGGAGTAACTAGATTATGATATCTCTACTTAACTTGGATATCAACTCCAAATTATGTTTGTTCTATATTTGTTCTCCTTTCTAGTCCAAAGATCATTCTCTTTGACATATAAAACAGAAGTGAAATTAAGGAGGGTTACCTCGGCTTTCTTTCTGTCATCAGTATCAATGTCTTATCTACTCCAGGCTAGTGGTCCCGTCTTTTCTGTGACCCTCCTCTTTTCCCCAATATAGCTTTTTTTAAAAAATAAAAGTTGCATATATGTATATATATATAATATATGTATATATTATATATAATATATGTATATATATTATATATGTATATATAGTGGGCTATGTGTCAGACACTTGATCTGTACAGGGATACTTTTTTGTCCAGCTGATCTCCAATAAATTCCAATTACAATATGCTTCCATTTCTGCCTCGATTGAAATCTTTTTTTTTTTTTTTAGGCAGTTGGGGTTAAGTGACTTGCCCAGGGTCACACAGCTAGTAAGTGTCAAGTGTTTGGTCTGAGGCCAGATGTGACCTCAGATACTCCTGACTTCAGGGCCGGTGCTCTATCCACTGTGCCACCTACCTGCCCCTTGATATTCTTTTTTCAAAAAATAATTTTTATTGATACTTTCTTTTTCTTACATCATCATAGTTATCACCAGTTATCATCCCTTCCTCTCCCCTTTTCAGAGAGCCACACCATATGAAAAATAGTAATTTTTAGAGAAGAAAAAACACCAGCAAAACTGATAAACTGAAAAAGTTTGAAAATTTGTGCAATGTTTAATACCTGTGGATCACCCACCTCCACAAAGGGGTGGTTTGAGAGGGGGTGTCAATTCTCATCTCTTCATTTGAGTCCTGTTTGATCTTTATAATTCTGTTACATTCCATTTAGGTGTACTACATTGTTGTGGTTACTATGTATATTGTTTCCTTGACTTTACTGACTTTACTCTGCTTCTATTCACATAAATCTTTATATCCTTTTCTGTATCACCCACATCATTTCTTACAGCACAGTAATATTCCATTACATCCATGTACCACAATTTGCTTAGACATTCCCCAATCGATGGGCATCAACTTTGTTTCTAACTCTTTACTATCACAAAAAGTGCTGCCATAAGTATTTTCATGTATATGAGGACTTTATCTTATCAATGGCTTCCTTGAAGCATAAGCTCTTTGGTTCAAAAAGTCAATACTTTTTAATCACTTTATTTGCACCATTCCACATTGCTTTTCAAAATGATTGTAATATCTCAAAGTTCCACCAACAATGTACTGGTGTGCCTATTATTCCACCGCCCTTCCAACAGTGACTATTGCTTTTTGTCATCTTCGCTAAATTTCAGAGTGTTTGCCAACTACCTCAGGGTTGTTTTGATTTTCATTTCTCTTATTTTTAGTGGTTGGGAGCAGAAATGTCAGGAATCAGATTAAAATGTAATTGGGAAATGTTTAACATAATAAATAAAAATACAATGCAAAGCAGATAATTTGTGGCTAATTTGTGGTTTTCTGAATCAATATGAAGCCTCAAGGAGATTTATTTCTGTTTCAATCTGGCACCACTGGTTTTGAGGACTGCTGTTTTATGATATAGTTTGAAGTCTGGAAGTGCTATTTCCCCTTCATCTTCGTTCTTTTTCATCATTTCCCTTGATATTCTAGATGCTTTGTTTTTCCAAATGAATTCTGCAATTATTTTATCAAGTTCTGTATAGAATATCCCCTTGGTAATTTGATTGGTATGGCATTAAAGGTGTAGATTAACTTTAATAGCACTGTCATTTTTATTATATTGGCACAGCCTAGACATGACAACTAAATATTCCTTCAGTTACTTAAATTCTTTTTTTTCTTTAAGGACCACTATGTTTTATTTTTGTTTCATCTATTTTATTGTATTTTTTTTTGTTTTTCCTTTCTTTTTAAAAAAAATTATTCTTTTTTAGTTTTAAATGCTCTTCCTCCTCTACCCAGTTAGAAAACAAGAAAAACAAATCAATTACAAATATATATAGTAATTATTCCACACTAACCATATTAAGAAGCACTTTGTAATTGAATCTATAGAATTATTTTGTGTGTTTTGGTAGGTTGACCCTGAGATATTTTATTTATTTTGTCAGTATTTGAAATGGGGTTTCCATTTCTATTATTGCTTCTTGTGTTTTGTTGTTATTATATAGAAATGCTGTTGATCTTTGAGGATTTATTTTGTAGCCTTTAACTTAGCTGAAGCTATTATTGTCTCAATGAGTATTTTTGCTGATTCTCTGGGGTTTTCCAAGTAAAACCATCACCAAATAGGGACAGTTTTATCTCCTTTCTAACTATCTTTATGTCTTTAATTTCTTTCTCATATGTCATTGTTGCTAATATTTCAAATAATAGCAGGGAGAGTGGGTATCCTTGCTTCACTCCCATATTTATTGGAAAAGATTCTAGTGTATTCCCATTGCATATGAGACATGCTTTCTGTTTTAGATAGATATTTTTATAATATTTTAAAAAAGGGCTCCTCTATGTCTATACTGTGAATTTGGGGACATCTATACTAATGTTCTTCTTCTTGTATTGTAGCTTCTCTAGTGTATATACATAGGCATTTTTCTCCCTCCTCTTCTTTGTCCATTTAAAATCCTTTTGCTTGGATTTGTAAAACTCCAGGCAAATGCATTCTAAGTGGACTTGATTTGGTATACTCTATCTCTGGCCAGGACCCTGTCACTGCTTGTTTTAAGCCATAGTCCAGAAATCCAAGTTCGATTCTCAAACACCCTCTTCTTATCTAGCAGTCCCATCTGCCTGTTTTCTTCTGTAGCCTTTGCTTTTGATGGAACATTAATTAAGTGTTCCATCTATTCATCCATCCATCCATCTATCCATCCATCCATCCATCTATTTATCAGCCTGTCTGTCTACTCATCCATCCATCATCCATCCATCCATCTATCCATCTATTTATCGATCTATCTATCCTACCTAGTAACTATCTAGCTATCATCTATTTAGCTAGGTACGTGTGTATGTCTGTTGCTAGCTAGGTAGCTATGGTTTCTCTTTAACCTTATATGTCTGTTTCTTCCACAAAGAACTTCTCCACGCCCCCCTCCCCCACCGAGAGACCTACCTATCTGGTTTTTCATGAAAATATAGTGACTTTATAATGGAAAGATAATTAATAAGAGAAGAACAAGTCTTTATTGTCACCACTGGGCACCTCTGTGCATATATACAATCACATACTCCAGTATAGAAAAGATAAAATATTTGGTTCCTTCTTCTTGCCAACTAAAAGCCCAAGGCATCATTCAAGGCTCCTTGGAGATTATCATAGGAGGACCACCCCACCACCTAGGCCCAGTGGGAAAAAAAGAGAGATTGTCAGCTCCCTGTAAGACTGAGCCACTTGGAGACTTGATAGAATGAAGTAAATAGGGCAGAGGAGGGGGTGAACATTTTTACTGTCATCAATTCAATTAGACCAACAGTAAGCACCTACTATGTACAAGGCACCAGTACTACAAAGACAAATTAGTGAAATCATCCTGCCCTCAAGGAGCTTACATTCTATGAGGGGGAAATAATCTGTACCTAAGGAAATATTTGCTGATACATTAATCTCTAGCAGGAGAGAATTGGGGGAAGGCGAAATCACTAACAGGAGATCTGGAGAGGTTTCATGGAGGAGTTGGCTCCTGAGATGAGCCTTGAAGGCAGGCAGGTTTCTGAGAGATGGAGATGAGGAGGGAGGGTACTCCAGGCATGGGGAAAGACTTGGACGAGTTCACAGACGTAAGAGACAGAACAGCAAGTTTGGGGAACAGTGGGTGGTCCAGTTCAATTGGAATATAGCATGAAATCAGGCTGGACAAGTAGGCAGGAATCAGATCATGGAGGGTTTCGAACACTGGACTGAGGAATCAGCATCTTATCATAGCCTAGGCGTTTGTCACCTGTGTTTGTATCAGGGACCCTTTGGAAGTCTGGGAAGCTGATGGACCCCTTAATCCTGAGGCCAGGACTTCTGCCATCTCCCCACCCCCTGGACTGAGGTCTCTATTCAACAAAGCTGCCACCTGGCTGGAAAATTGAGAAGCATCCTGGCTCAGGCACCTCAGAAGCCATGGAGCTCATCTCCCTCATTTTACAGATGAGGAAAGAAAAGGTCAGAGAAGTTAGTGACTTGACTAAGGTCACACAGGTCATAAGTGGCAGAAATAGGAAGTAAACTTAAGTTTTTTGACTTTCAGCCTTTCCAGAGACTCATGAATTCCAGTGGATTTGGATGGTCTCTTCTGGCTTATGAGCAAAGAATCACAGCAGGGAATCAGATGGGGAGGGCGCTGAGAACCAGCCTTGGAACAACAGGCCTTGTTCTTGCTGTGTGTTTGTGTGTGTGTGTGTGTGTTTGTCAGTCAACTAGCCTTCATTAAATTAAGCCCCTACTAAGTGCCAGGCACTGTGCTAAGCTCTGGGGATACAAAGAAAGGCAAAAACCAGTACCTGTTCACAGTCTAATCTGGGAAACAGCATGAAAACAGCTATGTACAAACAAGATAGAGATGGACAGGACAAACGACATAATTAAGAGGAAAGGCACTAAGGTTAGGGCAATATGGGAAAGACTTCTTGTAGAAGGTGAGATTTTAGCTAGGGCTTAAAGGAAAAGAGGGGGTGGGGATGAGAAGCAAGAGTATTCCAGATGTAGGGGAGAGACAATGCACATGCTCAGTCTAGAGATGGCTTGTCTTGTTTGAAGGACAGCTAAAGATGTGTGTGTGAGTGTGTGAGTGTGTTGTGTCAGTGTGTGAGAGAGTGTGTGTGTGTATGAGTGTATGTGTGAGTGTGAGTGTGTATATGTGTGTGTGTGTGTGTGTATGTGAGTATGAGTGTAAACGTGCACGTGCACACGCAGCCCAGAGTAGACCTGGGGGCCCAGTGCAGCCTGAGTCTGTCCTGTCTCTGTGGCCAGGAGGTGACCTTAGGCTCTTAAAGATGATGCCGGAGGAGAGAAAGCTTAGGCAGATTCTACAAAGGTCTCAGGAGTAGATGGAACGTCCATGTCCGAGGACCAGCCCAGCAAAGTTCAGATTCACTCATCCCCAGGCCAGCTACAAGATAGAGTTTTTCACGTCCAGTAACTCTCTGAGAACAACTAGTAAGTTACGGAGGGATTGCAATCAGCACTGGAGGAAGGCATATTCTCCTCAGCAGAAGCACAGATCCTTGAAGTATTGGCGTAAATAGAAATACCTTTTCAAACACATAGATATACACAGGAGAGGCATTTTCTCATTTCCCTGTTCATCATGACCCCCCCCCCCCCCCGCCAAGTTCATAATGTTCTGCTGTTATGGAACTCAGTTCTCTTAGTAACGTATTTCAGGGAATGCCTCCTCCTCTTCCCCACCCCCTACCAGAGCTTTCCTTGTCTATGGATCATATTTAAGAGCTGGAAGCAACCTTAGAGATGTTATCTAGTCCAATTACTCTCTTTTTACACATGAGAAAACCGAGGCCCAAGGAGGGGAAGAGATGTGCTGAAGTCACACAAGAGGTAAGTAGCACAGCCAGAATTTGAACTCAGGTCCTAGGACTCCATCTTTACAACCAAGGAGAATGAGAAGCTTCAAGTAAACTTTCCATTTAGTTCCTCTCAGCCTCCCTGGGGCCAAGTATTCAGAATTCCCATGCCCATCTCTCCCGGGCACAGGGCCCACCTTTGTCTGATCCCTTTCAGGGCATTTCCACAGAGGCAGGGTGGGTCAGTGAGGATTATGGGAGGAAGCTGTGAAGGGTCAGATCATCCCCATCGCAGTCGTCCCCAGGGCCTTGGGTAGGCTTTAGAAGCTGTGTCTTGGCACTCACTGGGCCCCCATTGGCCATGGGTGGTGCCTCACCCTCAGCCATCAGGGAGGAGATGCAAACCATCTCAGTGGGAGAGTAATCCCGAACTGGGTAAGTGTGGCCCTTCCTGGAGAGGCGGACGGCCAGCACCACAGTGCAGATCAGGAAGATGGTGGCAATGACGGCCAAGACGAGGACGGCCAGCAGACACTGCCTCACTGGGATTTGGTCAGAGAAGAGCAGGTGGGTGGTGGTGGCCATAACCACCAGGGCAGTGGTGTTGGACAGTCCAATCTGCCCAGTGGCTACCTTGGGCTTAGGAGGATCTGAACGTGCATCAGATGAGGAAGGTGGGGAGAAAGTGGTAGAAAAATTGTGTAGGGGGTGAACGGTAGTGAAAAAAAGGGCCGAATCATTTAAAGAGGAAGCTGGGCTGCTGTGGTTAGGTTTGAGCTCTCCTGGGAGGCTGGTGGGTGGCTCCCTTGTGGTAGCAGAATCTGTGACCAGCTGCCCCACGGTAGGGGTTAGAGTCTCTGCCTTGTCTGTGTCCAAAGCCAGGGTGACCGTGGCTGATGGGTCTGTGGCCGATTTCCCCGTGGTAGAGATAGCCATTGTATCTGTGCTGACGTCGCCTGCAGTGGAGTTATGGATGAACTGCTGTCCTGGACTTGTGGCCTTGGAAGTTGACTCCACCGTGGTAGAGACAACGATTTCTGGCACATCCGTAACCACTTTCTCCGTTGTGAGGTCATGCGTGGTCTGCTGCCCTGTGGAGGGCAAACCTGAAGTAGGTACGGTGGGATTCATGGTACTCCTATCCGTAGCTTCCATAGTCAACTCCTCCGTGGCCAGCTTCCCTTTAGTGGTCTCATGTGTGGTGGGTTCACTTTTGACCAAGTCCACGGATACAGGTACACTCGTGGAACCCTGGTGCGTTCCTTGTGCCGTGACTAGTGACAACGTAGTTAAATTGACTCTGTGCATCAGCTCTGGTGTTGGGGTCTGATAAATTTCATAATCACTGTCGTCGTCGTCGTCAGGGAAACTTCTCTTGGTTCGGTCGACCAAGAGCTCTCTGGCCTCCCACGCTTTACCCCTTGTCCACGGGGTCTGGCTGGCCCCGGTGGGCTGCCCATACCCATGAGGCTGCAGGGTCAGGAGGAAGAAGAAAGCAATCACAGACATGATACCTAGAAGACAAGGAAGATAAGGATCAGGGCTTCACTGATTCAGCAGCTCAGTTCGATGACCCGAAAAGGTTGGGGAGATGGGCTCCAAAGCCCATTCACCTCGAAATTCTATGAGAATAATGACAGCAGCGAGCATTTGCATAATGCTTTAAGGTTTGCAAAGCACTTCACACACATTATCTCATTTTCTCCTCACCCTTGGAAGCAGGTGCTGTTACTATTCCCATTTCACAGATGAAGGAACTGACGCTTAGGTGACTTTTCCAAGGTCACACTGCCAGTAAGTGTCTGAGACTGGATTTGAACTCAGGTCACCCCGACTCTAAGTCCTATGAACCTATACCTATTCCTGTCCTGGGGCTGAAGAGGAGGATGGAGAGCCAGGAGGTGAAGAATACTTTCCCTCTCTTCAGGCATTTGGAGGGCTGTCATGTGGAAGAGGGAACAGGCTTGCTGTAATTGGCCGTGGAGGGCAGAACCAGGAGAGTGAGGGAAAGTTGCAGAAAGACAGATTTCAGCTTAATTGAAGGAAGAACTTTTTGGAGGGACAGTGAGGAGACAAATTTGACTGGTGTGGGGTATTGGTGGGGGGGCCAGAAATTGCTTAGATGTTATTTTTTATTGTTCATTTGTTTCAGTCGTGTCTGACTCTCCGTGACCCCATTTGGGGTTTTCTTGGCAAAGGTACTGGAGTGGTTTGCCATTTCCTTCTCCAGCTCATTTGATGAGGAAACTGAGGCAAACGGAGTGAAGTAACTTGCCCAGGGTCGCACAGTTACTAAGTGTCTGAAGGCGCATTTGAACTCAGGTCTTCCTGACTCCAGGCCCGGTGCTCTAAGCACTATGGTGCCACCTAGCTGCCCTAAACGATATTTAATAGAGATACATACAGAAAGTTTTAACACGGGTTAAAAAAATCACAGCTACAATGTGGAGGAGGTGAGACTAGATAGCAATTTGTGTGAAAAAAAAAAAATCATTCGAGATTTGTTCGAGAGGGTCCCAAGTCTGTGCTGATAAATGTAGGACCCACTTTTAAGTCTAATCGGCAGGGCAGCTAGGTGACACAGATGATAGAGCACTGGACCGGGAGTCAGAAAGATCCGAGCTCCACTCCGGCCTCAGATACTAGCTGTGTGACCCTGGGCAAGTCATTAACCCCATTGCCTCAAAACAAAAAAGTCTGATTTACATTATTACCATTTCCTCCTTCACTTTCTTAAGTCTAGACAATCAATAAAACAATAAATCGGGCCCTGATTTGACGAAGCTTAACCATAGGCTCCCAGTTGAAGCTGACTTGGGCACCCCTGGCTTAGTGGACTTCAGGGTCAGTGCAAGTTAATGATGTCTTAGAGCATGAAGAAAACTAATACAATCTCTCAGGCTGCATTAAAAGCCTCCCAACGTCCAGGCCTGGGGACGGTGTCCCACTGTGCTCTATGCTGATCACACCACATCGATAGGGATATGGCTAGTTGTATTTACAACACTGACCTATCAGAGGAAGATGGCCAGGCTGGGGCAGAGACTAAGAAATTGTCATACAAGAAGTAGTTAAAGGACCCAGACCAGGGCCCTGATCAATGCAACGGGCAGCCAGGACTCCAGAGGCCCAAGGATGGAGCACGTTACCCACGTCTGAGAGAGAGAAGAAGGACTCAAGGTGTGGAATGAGGCAGACGTTTTTGGACAGGACCAATGCTGGGTTTGGCTTGACTATCTATATTTGTGTGAACGATTTTTTTTTTCTTTTTCTTTTCCAATGGAAGGAGGGGAGGGGAAGAGAAAGAGAACTAGTAATAATGTTGGCAAAGAATAAAATATGGGACAAGAAAGAGGGTCCCTAAAGCATTTAAAAGAAAATGCCCTTAAATGAACAGAGGGAGACACAGACAAGCAAGACAGCTTTGAAAGTAACGTAGAAATATCCATACATATACATTACATGTACATATATAATTCCATATTACTTTTTTTTTTTTTTTGGTGAGGCAATTGGGGTTAAGTGACTTGCCTAGAGTCACACAGCTAGTGAGTGTTATGTGTCTGAGGTCGCATTTGAACTCAGGGCTTCCTGACTCCAGGGCCGGTGTTCTATCCACTGCACCACCTAGCTGTCCTTCCATATTACTTTCAAAGTGTATATATACTTATATGTACATATGTACTTATAAATATATATAAAAAAAGCAGTATATAATAGAGATTGACAATTTTATATACAATCATTTTTTCTGTTTTACCTTGTATATTGAATTCTTTTTCCATATTTAAGTGAAGAATAAAATAATATTAATTTTTTAAAAAAATTAATGGAACAGAGGTGTTTTGCCTGAAGAAGTCATGGTCAGTCAACAAGAACTTATTAAATACTTACTGCATGCCAGGTACCATGCTAAGCTCAGGTGATGGGGGGAGTGGGGGGACCAGCTCCCTTCATTTTACACGTGAGGAACCTGGGGTTCAGGGAGATGAAGCAACTTGTCTAGATCCACACAAGTAGTAAGTGGTAGCATCTAGATTTGAACCTAGATCCTTGGACTCCAAAAGGTTCTAGAATGCCCCGGGAAAAGGAACCTCTCAGGAAACATGGACGAGTCTCTCCGTTTTCTTCTCCCTAGTTTCAGTCTGAGTGGAACAGTGAGAGGGTCTGGTTTCAAATCTCAGTCCTGCCGATTGCTACCTGTGTAACCTTGAGAAAGTCTTTCTCCCTCTCTGGGCCTCAGTTTCTTCCTCTGTAAAATGAGGAGGTTGAGCTAGATGGCATCTGGGGTCTCTTCCAACCCTAGATCTGTGATCCAGTGAGCCTCTCCAGTCGGGTGCAGGCCAGTGCTGGCCACATTGACTCCCTAAATCTGCTCTCCCTGGCCCTGAAGAAGAGAACTAGGTCCAGGAGGCCCTCACCCTAACAAAATGTCTCCCTGGCAGCAGAGGAACAGTGAGGAGGAGCTGACCAGAAATCAGGCCTAGGGTGGAGCTAGGGGCCAGTTACAGGAAGATTGAGTTCAAAACCACTTCCTGGAAACTGGAGGATGTCACAGGACACTAGAGCACCCACTGTTTCTCTGGAGGTGTTGTGGCATCTTCACTGAAGCGGAACATCCTGGTCTGGGGAAAAGGCTCCCATGCGACTTCCCTCCTGACCAGAGGAGAGGTCGGTGGACAGGCCAATGCCTAGTAGGAGACTTGAGGCTTGAAATAGGATGGATTCTGCATCTCCACCCTCCCTCCCTCCCCCACCCCAACACACACCTCTTATACTCAGAGGTATTCAACCTGATACATGGAGAGTTCAATAATTGGGCACCCACAATTCCCTGAGGATACTTCATTTCCCCAGGAAGCAACTTACGGAGATGGACAGAAAACTCTGTTCTGGGAGTGCGCCACCATGGCCAAGATAATCGTCGATGGTCAGAGAGAGCAGGGGCTCCAGAACATAGGATTTCAGAACCATCTAGCCATCCAACCAGCTCACTCTCTTCCTATATCCCTCCTCCCTCTTGAGGCTAAAGTCCTTGAGAAGATGGTCTACAATTGAGGCCTCTACTTCCCTCCTATTCACTTTTTTCTTAACTCTCATCATTCAACAGAAACTGTTCTCTCCAAAGTTACCAAGAATCTCTTAACTGCCGAATCTAAAGACCTTTTTTTAATCTTCCTCCTTCTTTACTTCCCTGAAGCCTTTGATGCTGTCAATTACCCTCTTTTAGGTTTCCTTGATACTATTGTCTCTTGGTTTTCCTCCTACCTATCTGGCCACTCCTTTTTAATCTTTCTTGCAGGATCTTTAATCTTCATCAAGGAAATACCCACTAATTCTGTCCTGGGCACTCTCCTCTTCTCCCTCTATACTATTTCACTTGGTGATCTCGGTGGATTCAATTATCATATCTATATCCATGTTTCTCAGATATATGTATCCAGCCTGTCTCCTTACCTTCAGTCTCATATCTCCAACTGCTTATTGCGCATCTCAAACTGGATGTCCCACAGGCATCTTAAACTCAACATGTTCAGAACTGAACTCATTATCTTTCCACCCAAATGCTCCCCTCTTCTCAACTTCCCTATTATTATCTAGGACAACTTTAACCTCCCAGTCCTTCAGGCTCAAAACCTAAGTATCACTATCAGCTTCTCTCTCTCACCTGCCAAAACCAAGCTGCTGCCCAGGCCTCTCAATTTCACCTCTGCAGCATCTCTTGTCCATTTCTCTTTTACAACATCTCTGGTCAATTTCACCTCTGCAGCATCTGTTGCCAATTTTCTCTTTTAAAACATCTCTGGTCAACTTCATCTCTATAGCATCTGTTGTCCATTTTACCTTTGCACCATTTCTGTTCAATTTCACCTCTGCAGCATCTCTGCTTGATTTCCAGCATCTCTCAAATAGTCTCCCTTCTCTCCTCAGGCACTGCCCCAACCCTGGTGCCTCATACCTGGACCATTGCAATAGTTCCTGGGGGGGGGGGGTTGGGAAGGGTCTGCCTGTCTCAGGTCTCTCCCCAATCCATCCTCCACTCTGATGTCAAATTAATTTTCCTAAAACACATTCTCCCTCCTCCTCTCTGCCTCCTGGCAACCCTGGCTTCCTTCAAAGCTCAGCTAAAACCCCACTTTCTACAGGAAGACTTTCCCGGCCCTTTCCATCATTTGAGTTTTTTGGGGTTTTTTGTTTGTTTGTTTTTTGCTAGGCAATGGGGTTAAGTGACTTGCCCAGGGTCACACAGCCAGTTAAGTGTCAAATGTCTGAGACTGGATTTGAATTCAAGTCCTCTTGACTCCGGGGCCAGTGTTCTATCTATCCACTGTGCCACCTAGCTGCCCCACCTTTCTATCATTTGAATACCTTCCCTCTGGGAATTATCTCTAATCTGTCCTGTCTATATGTTGTTTGTATATACTTGCTTACATGTTCTCTTCCCCATTAAACTGTGAGCTCCTTGAGATCAGGGACTGTCTTTCATCTTTCTTTGTATCCCTAAGCACTTATCAGACAACTAGGAGACACAGTGGGCAGTCCCCCATATCTGCACTTAGGAAGACCCGAGTTCAAATCTACCCTCATACACTTAGTAGGTGTGTGACCCTGGGCAAGTCACTTCACCCTGTTTGCCTCAGTTTCCTCAACTGTAAAATGAGCTGGAGAAGGAAATGGCAAACCACTCTAGTATTTTTGCCAAGAAAACCCCAAACGGGGTCACGAAGAGTCAAACACAACCGAAACTTACTGAACAACAACGCTTAGCGCAATGCCTCGCACATCGTAGGTTCTTAACAAATACTCGTTAAGTGACTGAGTAGGAGGGAACTCAACAGAAGCTCTAAAGCTAGAACACAGAACACAGAATGCTACAATTTTGGACATAGAGGTTTAGAGAATTCAGACCTAGAAGGAAACTTAGTACATAGAATGTTGCAACATTAAACATAAAATGTTACAATATAGAACATAGATGTCACAGAATATCAGATCTAGGAGGGGCCTTAGATATCGAGTCTCTTATATTATTAAGGAAACAGAAAGGGCGTATGACTAGCTAGATGGTGCCACAGTGCACAGAGCGCTCACTAGACCTGAAGAATGGAGTTCAAATTTGACCTCACTTAGCAGCTGCATGACCCTGGGCACGTTCCTTCATCTCTGTTTGTCTCAGTTTCCTCATCTGTAAAACGGGGATAATGGGGGGCAGCTAGGTGGCATAGTGGATAGAGCACTGGCCCTGCATTCAGGGGGACCTCAGTTCAAATCCAGCCTCAGACACATAACACTTACTAGCTGTGTGACCCCGGGCAAGTCACTTAACCCCATTGCCTAACCAAAAATAATAAATAAATAAAAATGGGGACAATAGGAACACCTGCCTCCCAAAGTTGCTGTGAGAATCAGAAATAATATCTGTAAATCACTTTGCAAACCTTAAAACACTCTATAAATGTTAGCTTATTATTTTCTAGCAGGGCCATGTTGTATCCCAAAGCCTACTTTATCGTCTCTCCTAAGACAGTGACCCAAGTGAGCCCCTCTGTTTTCAACACCCAGGCCCACGAGGGTTGGGAAGGTTAAGGAGTCAGATCAGCCTGTGGTATCAGGAATGGGAGGGTGGAAGTGAGGTCCCCAGCCTCTCTGTACAAGTTCAGCGTCATGGAAAGAGCCCTAAAAATAAGAGTCGAGACATGGTTTCGTATCTCAGCTCTTATACCTTCTGGTTGTGTGATTTTAATCTCTCAGAGCCTCAGTTTCCACATCTATAAAATGGGAATAATGATCCTTTCACTCCTCATCCCCAAAGGCTGTTGGAAGGAAAATATTTTGTCAACCTTAAAAATCTAGATGAATGTGAATCATTAGAATGGCTCTTTCCAATACGTCTCTCCCTAGGCCTGATTGGGACAGGAAAGGCTGGCCAGTCTAGGACCTATAAAGTGCTGAGGAAAGGGAGCAGAAGAGAGGCGCTCAGACAAGTCTCTGCAGATAGGATTGCAGAAATCACCTCACCCAGCCCCGCCCCTCTCTTCATTTCACAGATAAGGAAACTGAGGCCCAGAGATGTGAAGTGATTTCTCCAAGGTATCATAAGTCATACCTGACGGAGTCGGGATTCAAACCCAGGGATCTTTTTGCTGTTTGATGCTAGCTCCCCAAATACAGTCTGGACAGTGTAAGGAGGCACGGGGGCAAATGAGAGCACGGCCAGGAACAGGACACAAGAGAAAAGGTCTTATTGGAGGTCCCAACCTACCACCCCAATCATCCTTGGTTGATGGAAGCACCTTCTGTGTCTCAGTTTCCTTATCTGCAAAATGAAGGGGATTGACTGAATGACTGGACCAGCTCTAAATCTACGATACCAATAGCATACCCTGCCCCCTCCCAGTTGCTAGTGCCTCCATCTCCTCCCAGTTACTTGGTATTCATTTTGTATGTGTCTTGTATGTGTTTATCATTTGCATCTCCCCCATCAGGATATAAGTTCATTAAGGGCAGGGCATATTTCATGTTTGTCTTGGTATCTCTGGCACCTAGAGTCAGGGCTAGGTGCAGAATAAATACTTGTTGTTGAATTGGTTGATTGATGCATTCATTAAAGGACACCTTTGTCAGTCCTGGTACCTATCATCTAAATGTGGCTGAGAAAATGGGCTTGGATTTACTCTGGGTCTTAAGGGTCCCCCAGTCCTGGGATGATGGAGCAGGTTAGGATGGAGTGGACTGTGGCTGCCTAGCCCAGGCCTGAGCTTTCTTCCCATGAGTGCGTGGATCCCCAGACACCCATCCCCATCCCCAAGGGGAACCGTGAGGGTTTCAGCCTGCCACTGCCGCCAGACTGTGGCTTCGTGTGAAAACTAGAAGCTTTCTAGAAGTCAAATCATCCAGGCAGAACAGCTTCTTCCGGTGTCTGTGGGTTTCAATCACCCCTGATCGACCTGGCTTGCAGTCAAGCGTACTAGGCAGAGAAAGAGGCTGGTGACGGAGGGCAAGCTTAAAAATGAGCACTTGCATTGGGCCGCCTGGCAATATCTTGGGAGGAAGCAAGGGGAGCAGGTCCCACCCTTCTTCCCAGGAAGCCGTGCCACGGGAGGAGCTTTCAAAGAAGGGGTGGGGCCTGAGTCCCACAATGAGGAAGAAAGGGAGTCCACCCAAAGAGAGGGTGCAGAGGGCGTTGCCCGGTATACTCACTGGACCTCCCAGCCTATCTCCCAAGGATTCAGAGTCCATGAACCCAGTTGGGTTGGGCTGTAATGGAATAGAAAATGTCCCAGATGGAAGTGATCTTTGAGGTCCCTCCTTTGGGAATCATTGGTTAACTATAAGGAGTCCATGAATTTTGATGGGGGAAAAAATCCATCTTTATTTCACTTGAATTGGTTTCCTTTGTCAACTCATGTTTTATGCATTTGAAAATACAATTCTGAGAAGGGGTCCCTAGGTTTCAACTGTACCCAAAAGGTTAAGGACAATTGGTCTGGTCCAGCCCCACCATTTGACCCGAGGAGAAGAGATAGGAGACTTATAGAAGAGGGAGTGGGTTCTAAAGTCTCACTACTAGGAAGGAGCAGAACCCAGACCATCGGGCATTCTACCAATCTTGAAGACTAAGAGGAAGCCAAGAATAGGATAGACCAGTCATACATGAAGGGAGGGTAGAGACCAGACCTGTGATTTCACAGGTACAGGGAACTCCTTCTGCCAATGCAGTTTTCTCTGCAGTTTATAATGTTAGAGTTTTGCCTGAGGCATTGAAAAATTCAATGACTTACTCAGGAAACTCATCCCAGAGGATCGTGAACTCTGAGTTCCTGGTTTGGAGGCCAGTGTGCTATCCACTATAGCATAAAGCAGTAGTCCTTTACTGTGGCAAACTGCAATCTCCCCACAGTCAGACTTCTCTCGCCAAGTCTAGTGTTCTGCCCATTAGCTCACCCTGCCTCCTGCTCCAGGAGATGTCTTTGTAGAGACACTGAACTCAGTCTGAATATTCACCAGACTAAAGAAAAAGTAACACCCTCCCTGTCATCACAGCAAGTCCAAGGTCATGTGGTCCTAAAGGACCCAGTGGACCCTGCTGAGGTTTGCTGAGCCTTATGAATGCCTGCCTGCAGCATGGAGGCCCATGGTGGCCTCCCCTCCCCTCCACACACACAGCCCAGCTTACCTTCTTCAGTAGACTGTGGAGGGAGAGACCAGTGGGGTGGCTCTGGACCTCAGACCAGGAAAGGCTGCACACTAACCGCCTCACTGCTGTGGCGACATCCTATCCTCATGCAGGGGACCATGAGGATGAGGGCCCACGGAAGGATCGGTGGCACTACCTGCCTGGGTCTCTGCTCTCCAGCACTGCGCGAAAGGAGGAAGCAAGACTGTGGTTTAAGGCCATGTGACAGCATCCTCCCATCCCCTTCTTGTTTATCAGACCCTTTGTGGCATAACTGAGCAAGACTTGGAAGGGAAGCGAGAAGAGGGGGTGAGGGGTGGGGCAGTGGCAAAGACCTCTGGGTTTGGAAACACCTTGCATGGCTCATCAGCCAAGCTTCCATTGAAGTGGTTGGGGGACCATGAGGGCCAGCTTAGAAACCACCAGGGACATTGGGGGGTGGGACTTGCCTGGTACCGGCCTTCTGAGGAGCCCAATGATGGAGCAGGGAGAAAGAGTCCCATTGGCAAGAGCGTTGCACCCCAGTGCTGCAGTGAAACTATTTGCCCCTATCTCAAAGGGAAGGAAGAATCAGATAAGAAATAGGGTCAAGTTCTCTATTTTAGCCTATGGGAATGAAAATCAGACCCAGAATCTTTTTTGAGGTTATGTAAGAGCAAGACAAGATGGAGAATTTTTTTAAAAAGTTTTTTATATATTTATTAAAATAAATCTTTTAAAAAGTATCTACTGTATTAATATTTATGGCCTAGTGGTTAAATATAGTTGCTACTTTTTTTGTAAATAGTATTTTATTTTTTCCAATTAAATATAAAAATAGTTTTTAACATTCATTTTTATAAGATTTTGAGTTCCAAATTTTTTTCCCTCCCTTCCCCCTCCCTAAGACAGCAAGCAATCTGATATAGGTTATACATGTTATACATGTGCAATCAGGGAAACATCTCCACATTAGTCATGCTGTAAAAGAAGAAACAGAAAAAAGAGAAAAGACACACATACACACAAAAGTGAAAATAGTATGTGTTGATCTGCATTCAGACTCCATGGTTTTTTTCTCCGGATGTGGATGGCATTTTCCTTCACGAGTCCTTTGGAACTGTCTTGAATCGTTGTATTGCTGAGAAGAGCTAAGTCAGTCGTAGTTGATCATTGCACAATGTTGCTGTTACTGTGTACAATAGTCTCCTGGTTCTGCTCATTTATTTCAGTCTGCATCAGTTCACATAAGTGTTTCCAGGTTTTTCTGAAGTCCACCTGCTCATTATTTCTTTTAGCATGGTAGTTTTGCATTACATTCATAATCATTCCCCAGTTGATAAGCATCCCCTCAACTTCCAATTCTTTGCCACCACAAAAAGAGTTGTTATAAATCTTTTTATACATGTAGGTCCTTTCCCCTTTTTTATGGTACTGCTGGATCAAAGGGCATGTGTGCACAATTCGGTTGCCCTTTGGAAATAGTTCCAAATAGCTCTCCAGAGTGGTTGGATCAGTTCAAGTGGTTACTTTTTATTTCAATAAGATCATAAAACACGGAACATTAATGTCGAGAGAGATCTTACAGATCTCTCTCTTATCTGTGGGAACTAGAGTGTGGAATGTCAGAGCTGGAAGGAACCTCAGAATATAGAGTGTCAGAGCTCAGGAGGATTTGCCTTAACCTGTAGAATGTTTGAGTTGGGAGAGATCTTAGAATATTGAATGTTAGTGATGGAGGCAATCTTAGATTATAGAATTCAATTAAAATCAGCAAGCATTCATTAAGCCTCTACTTTGTGCTAGTTTCTGTGCTGAGTCCTTGAGATACAAAAACAAGCAAATGAACAAAACCATGACTCATACTGCTAGTTTCTCATCTCTGATGTCACAGGTAGTGAGATGCTGGAAATTGACCAGCAAGGCCTGAGCTATACAAGCATGGGTTATAGAAGGTTCTAGAAAAGAGCAGAAGGAAGGGGCTAAAACAGAGACAGCCTACAGCAATAAAGGATAGCAACCCCCTGCCTGGAAAGAAAGAAAGAGAGAAAGAAAGAAGGAAAGAAAGAAAATAGAGAGGTGGGGTTTTTTGTTTGTTTGTTTTCTTATTACTATGGCGAAAAGTGGACTCAGCACTAAATAGCAAACACATCCCAGGCCAGCGATAGCAAAACCTCAAAGCCTGGGTGTGGAGATCCCCACTGGGCCAGCATGGGCCGTGGCAGAAAACACAGGCCAATATAAACAGCCCTCAATTAGTGCATCCACCTGCCTTCCTCTATCTTGTCACCCAAGTTCTCTCCAAACACAGAATGGGGCTTGCTAAGGTGTGCTAAGCACATAGCCAGAGGAGAATTCTTCAGGAAGGGTTTCCCTTGGCCACAGGGCTAATGCGCCAGAGGATAGGAAAGGCTCATCCCAGGAGGACAGTATCGGTTGGGGCAAAGGGTTCCAACGTGCAGAGCCCTAAGTAAGAAGGCTTGTGCCAGGGGCAAATTGGTGGAGGTTGGGGTGGGGGTGGAGGACCAGAGCACAGTGTGTTCCCACTTGTCTGTACCCCCTCACAGAGTTGGGCTCATGGCCCCCTGGGAAGAGGAAAGAGGTGGAAAGGAGAAGGGAATAAGCATTTATATCGCACCTACTACATGCCAGGCAGGGGAAGCAGGTGGTGAAGTAAATAGAGCGCTGGGTTTGAAGTCAGGAAGACTCATCTTTCCGAGTTCAAACCTGTGATGATTTAAAAAGTTTGAGAGACAAAGTTTCTGGGTAATTTCATCATTTTATTAATAAGGCCAGCACATTATTAATAAAAGGATGATCATTTGACTGTCCTTTTTCTCTCAAATCTGGCCTCAGACACTTACTAGCTGTGTGACCCTGGGCAAGTCACTTCACCCTGTTTGCCTCAGTTTCCTCATCTGTAAAATGAGCTGGAGAAGAAAATGGAAAACTATTCCATTATCTTTGCCTAGAAAACCCAAATGGGGTCACAAAGAGTCAGACATGACCGAAACAACTGAACAACAACAGAAACCTGCCAGGCACTGTGCTAAGCACACAGTGTGTTTTATTAAGACAGTAAACAAGTCTAAGAGAAGGGTCCAACGGTGATGGGATCCTAGGGGCGGTGGCCCAGGGGCAGGAAGCACATCCCTGGGAAAAACTCCCTGATGCCTTGAACCGGCCCCAACACTAACTCAGATGACCAGAGGTAAGGGAAGGGTGAAGTTGATTCTGGGAAGGCAGGGACTCCTCTGCCTTTGTCAAATGCAATCTGTAGCTAAAGACAGACGTGAGGTAGGGTAGTGTAGTATATGGTGGAGGCAATAGCTGGCTGGCTTTGAAGGCAAAGTCAGAAGAAGTGGCTAATTGACCCTCCCTTTCTTGGAGAGGTGGGGGGCCATGGGTGTAGAATGTCGCATTCACTGTCAGATCTATTGATGAGTTGATTCATTTTGCTGAACTGCTTCATCTCTTCTCCCCACCCCCAGTGGGAATAGTCAGAGATATGTTTAGAAATAAAGGTCAAGTAAAACAAAAGATAACAATAATTTTTAAAAGATAAGGCTGAGTCAGACAAGAGTACGGCAATTATTTCCACTTAAAAATAAGTGAGTAATTATAAAGCACTTATCACAGTGCCTGGCACACAGTAGGTACTTAATAAATGCTTGTTTCCTCCGCCCCCTTACCCAGGATTCCAAGCTCCTTGAGGGGAAACACTCATTGGTACACATCTCTATAACTTATTAGATTAGAGATCTAAAGCTGGAAGAGACCTCTGAGGCTTCTGAGTCCAACCTCGTTTTACAGATAAATAAACTGAGGCCAAGAGAGATGAAGTGACTTGCTCAAGGTCACACAAGGAGTGTCAGAGGCAGAGATCTGAACCCAAGTCCTCTGATTTGAGAGTCAGTACTCTTTATAATGTATCATGTTGCCTCCTGGATATAGGATCAGAGGGTCTGGGTTCAAATCCTGACTTTTGCTACTTACAATTTCTGTGATCCTGGGCAGGTTGCTTCTCTGCCCTCAGAAAAATCAGAAGATTGAACCTGATGAACTCTAAGATTACTCTTAGTCCCAGACCCTGCAATCACAACTGGCTCACTTTGGGGGCCTTATATACAGTGGGTGTTCAATAAATGTTCACTCATTTCAGACTCCTTATGATCCCATTTGGAATTTTCTTGGCAGAGATCCTGAAGTGGTTTGCCATTTCCTTCTCCAGCTGATTTTACAGATGAGGAAACTGAGGCAAACAGAGTGAAGTGACTTGCCTAGGGTCACACAGCTAGTCTGAGGTCAGATTTCAACTCAGGTCCTCCTGACTCTAGGCCGGCACTCTGTCCACTGCACCACCTACCTCCCAACCAAGAGATTTCAGCTTTGCTCCACCTCCCCCACCAAGTTTTACAGACATCTGCCCCCTGACCCCTGGTCATATTGCCTACTCCCATTCCCTACTCCACCAAAAATCCTCCAGCTTGTTTCTCTGGTGGGTTAACCTCCCTAAGCCTCAGTTTCCTCACCTATTAAAGAAGGGGACTATACAGTATCTCCAATCCCTTTGGAATCTCTAGCCTCCTCTGAACACAACTCAGGCGCCAGCTCCCAGCTTTTCCTGACTCCCCCCCCCCCCCGATTCCAAAACTACAATAATAGACAATAGTAAGGACAGTCCCCTTCACCCAGGCCTCTGTGCTTCCAAAGAGTTCTCACAACCCCGAGGGGGTGATGCAAGTACTCTCATTCCCATTCTGCAGATGAGGAAACCGAGGCTCAGACGGGGTTAAAGATTCTACTCCAGGCCACATCGCTAGAAGGTGGTGACAGTATGGGGTTCAGAGTCTCAGTTCCATGCTTCTACTGCCCTCCACCACTCTTGTCTTTGAGACCTAAAAGTGCCGTGACTTCGGAAGGGCAGCTCCTTGTTTTGAGTCTGCAGTTACCTTGTGGGACAGAAGGTGTAAAGGGAACAAGCTCACGCCTGGTCTTCCCCTTTCAGCCTTCTGCCACTCAGACTGAAACCCCTCACATCCTTAGTGGGATCAAACAAGGACAGCTTTGGGGTCTGGGTTTGAGCATCACCAGGGTGGCAGGGACCATTCCTGCTGAGGCGGAAGACTGCAGCTCGGGCAGTGCAAAGAGCCTCTGGTTCTCTCCCTGGTTCTGCCACTCACTTATTGTGTGACTGGGGGTG